GCGGGCGCCCCCTCCCAGCGCCCTGGCGGCGGCCCCGCGGCTCACGCCCCCCGTCCCAGGACCCCCGCCCCGAGCGCGCTGTCTGGGACCTAGGGGTCCCCGAGGCTGACCCCTTCCTGGGGCCTTCTCTACCCGGGATCCCGGCCCCACCACTTTCCACCGACGCGCGCAGCCCGGAGACGTCACCTCCCCGGACCTGTGTCCCCGGGCCGGGGGAACTGGGGGGTGCGGGCGCCCAAGGGGGTACCTGGGCCTGGGTCCCCGGGACGCCGGGGCTGCGCTGGGCGGGGCGGGGCGGGGCGGGGGGGGTAGTCGGGGGAGATGGCGGAGGGGGAGGTGGCCAGGAGGGGGCGTCCCCTCGGGCGTGGCCTCGCAGACCCCCGGGCCGCACTGCCCCGGGCTAGGCGGTGAGACCGGGCCCCGGCGCCGGCGCCGGCGGGAGAGGCGCCCGGGGCCGGCGCAGCCGTTTCCCTCCAGGGGACCTCCTCCAGGCGGCCCCGGGGGACGGGAGGCAGGGGTCCCAGCCCAGGGTCCCCGGGTCTCCGGAGCTGCTCTCTCCACACCCCGACTCCGGGAACCAGCTCGGGGCGCAGGCGGGGTGTGCGCTGCTTTCTGCGGCTCCGGCGGGGGCACGTGGGCCCAGGGGACCCTGAGGCCTGGAGGGGGATCCGGACGCAGACGTTTGGGGGAGCCCGACAGGTGCGGGGTGTGGGGGCGCCGCCGACCTCGGGCGCACTCCTCAGTGGGCGCCCCGGGCTCCTCGGTGGTTAGGGGCGGGGGTCTCGGCCACCCGGGGGGAGGGGCGCGATTGACGGTCGGTAATTGGGTAACCGGAGGCGGCTTCTCCGGCCGGCGGCCCCGCCACCGCGACGCCGGGCCCCTGACGTCACCCGATTCGCCAGGAAATGAACTTTTTAATAATCCGAGGCGGGAGGAGAGCCGTGTCCCCTCGGCTCGGGGGCGCCTGGCCGCCGCGCTTAGCTCTCTGGCGCTCCCGTCAGCCTCCCGGGCCGGCTCAGGGCTCGGCCGAACTCCTCCTGCGGTCGGCGTCTGCCTGTCTGTCCAGGCCCGCAGCAGGTAAAGGCAGGAGCTGAGGCGCGAGCCCCAGCCCCGGCGCTGGGGTCCCCTCGCCTTGCGCCCTGGGCCTAGAGGGATCCGCCGCGCGCAGGTGAGTGTCGGGGACCCTCGCCCACGCCCTCTCGGGACCTCTGCTTCTCACGCCCATAGCCCGGGATTCACCAACGGCCACCACAAAGCTTAAAACCCACGAGGAGGCCCTGGAGCCCGCGATCTCTGGGACCCGCGCTTCGCGTCCGGCAAGCTGTGCCGCGCGCTTCGGCGCGAGAGGCAGGGGCAACCGCGGCCGGTGGTTGCGGGAACAATTCGGGAAGTCCCTGCCCGGCAGTGATCGGCGGTGACTGCAGGGAGGTAGCCACGGCGGCCCTCGCCAAAGCAAGCAGGTAATTTGCCGCTCTCCCCTCAAACGCGCAGTTTCAAAGATCCCCGGTTCTGGGGTGCTGATGGCTGCAATGTCAGCGCCACCAGCTCGGCTTCTGCCCTTGGTGGCAGCGTCCTAGCCTGCGGCGGTGGAGGTGGCCTGGCCGGCTGGGCCCCCTGTTCTAGCGTCCGCCGGAGAGCTCTGTCCGTCTTGGGCAGAGCGAGTGCAGACGGGGATTTAATTACCCCGCTCGGCGGCTCAGAAAATCGCTGCGCACAGGGCTTAGCCGCTGGGCAGTTAAGCGGCACTTGAGCTGGGGCCTCCGGAGACCCGCAGCAGCCTGCCTGCCCGCACTCCGGGCTGGAGAGGAAAACAGGGAAGGGAATTCTGCCAAGTCCTCTGAGGCCTCCGGAGTTGCCTTCCTGGAAACTGCAGGCCAGCAGCCGGCTCGGCCCAGCTACCACCGAGACCGAAGCTCTTGCGTCCGAGGCGGGACTACCAGTTCGGCAGGAATGAACCCGCATGGTAGAGAAAATCGCGGCGCCAGGTAGCAGGGTGCTGAGCTGGCCGAGAAATGGGTCCTACGCTGTGAATGTCTGCAAGAATCAGACAGGGCAGACAGGACCTCACCCACCGGGCCTGCTGGATGGTCCTGCCACCTTACCCCTGAACAGACCTCCAGGGAGGGTCAGCTCAGCCCGGGGAATGGCTGGGGTCGCGGCGGGTGCCTGTCCCACCTGGATGACAGCACATTTATTCCCGCTGCTGCACATTCCTGTGCTGGCACTAGGGGTTTCCGGACACCCTCGTGAGGGACACAGTTCCTTTCTCAATTTTTGTTTCTTTCGAAGCATAGCTGGAGATGCAGGCCTTTGATCACACTAAGGAGCTGTCATTTTCCTTACGGGAAACAAAATTTCTCCGTCGAAAGAAGGTCTGCCACCAAACCGAATTTTCTGACAGCCCTTTGCAGGTGACCCCAGGCTCCCTGTTAGAGCATTCGACCATGTGGCCATGGGCTTCTGCCTGGGATCCAGACCTGGGTTCTGGGGGCCACCCGGTTGGTGCAAAGCCACGGCTGCCCGCCGAGCCAGGGCCCTGAGCAGCCCAGCTCCAGGCTCCATGCTTCGCCCTTTGTTTAAGCTGCGCTCATCCTCAGCCGCCCCGCTGGGGCCTCTAAGTTTGCCCTCTCTTTGAAACCCAATTCTTCTCACCTTCTTTGGGCAGCTAATTGGCCCACAGCGGGTGGGGGCTCGAGGAAGCCTTTGCTTAGGGACAGCCTCAGGGGTGCTTCACTGGAGAGGCACAGCCTCCCAGCCCAGGCTGTCAGGGACACGGGGGAGTCACCAGGGCGTCTGGACCGGTAAGGTTCAGCTCCCACGCTAACTGTCCCTCTACTCTTTGAGATTCACCTCCAGACCCTTGAATTAGAAGGCTCTCTCTTCCCTGGCCTTCCTGCTGGCCCTGCCACCCCATTGTAGAATCCGGGGGCCCAGGCTCCTGAGTGTCTTGGCACCCTGGCCCTGGCGCCGCCGGGGACTCTATCTCCTAAGCTGGTTCTACCACCACGGCCGAACCAGTGGCCAGCCGGGCCGGTGGAGACCCACAGATCACCCCGCCTTTCTCCCCCACTACCAACAGCTCAGCGGTGTTCACAGCGCCTGGCGCCCTGCGGCAGGACAACTGCTAAATCCCTTTCGTTAGATGCAATTTGTTTGCAATTTGTCAACCCGGCTGGGAAACACTCTCCAGACACCCTGGTTGCGCTTTGGCTCTACCTGGTTCTCAAGTTCTGTCTGCCATGAACGAATCCTAGCACGGGGCAGCTGCGTAGACCCGGAGCTCATGCCCAGATGTTCCTGACCCTGTGAGACGTGGCTTTTTCCAAAACAAACGAATTTCTTTTCTTGTTTTCTGGTAAACGACCGGCGGCCACACTCCGGGGGCCCTGAACACCGTAACTTTCCCCTTGAGGCTGAGGCGAACTCTAGTTCAAGGCTGGCTACCACTGAGTGGTCCTAAAAGTCGGAGTCCAGCCAGGTCCAAACGCTGTCTACGCCTGCTGCCTGCACCGCCCTGTGGCCGCCCTGTTCTTATTGAAATCCCACTAAACGGATTCGACTCCGGCTTGGGGAATAAGGGAGCCCTCCAGACACGGCGCGCTCCCCCACCTGCACCCCAGCCACACGGGATAAAAGGCCGCGGGGTGCGGCAGGCAGGCGGGAGTGAGCCGCCGGGTTAAGCCTCCCAAAGCCGGCGCACGGGACCAGCCGGCAGGTGCAGCCTGCTCGGCCCGGCTCGGACGCATCGGCTCGGCGGCCTGGGTGGGGGCAGAAGACAAAGGCTCCAGTCTGGGCCGGGGAAGGCGGTGACCGCGCAGCCCTGGGAAGTCAGGGGGTCCTGGGTCCTAGAGCTGGAAGGAATGGGAAACCCAGAGGCCTGAGGCAGCCTGTGGCGCCCAGGTGCCTGAATCCATTCCAGGCAAGGGCGGGGGTTCACGAGACTGGCAGGGCCAGGCAGAACCCCAAAGATAGGGCCGCGGAGCCTGTGACCATGTAGTGTGGGCCCCAGGGCCGAGCTGAGTCCCAGGACAAACAGGAGGGCAGGCTGAAAGGGACTCACCGGGGTGCAGGGCTCCCAAAGTGGCCTGGTGGCGGAGGTGGCGCTCAGCAGCGGGACCCCAGTGGCCCACAGAGTGGCCACATGGTGCGGTGCACAGCGGGCCGCTTTGTCCACCCAGTGGGTGAAGGATCGGCTAGGGTGGGGGTGACAGCAGCCGAGCGATAGAGACTGGAGCGGCAGCCCCAGCCACCACTTCCCTCGCGTGCTTGCCGGCAGCCTCTCCGTCTCACCGGCCGCAGCGCTGCTGCTTTTTATTTCAACATCACTGGGGGGGGGGCGCCGCAGGGGGGCAGGAGGGTGACCCAGGCTCTGCGCCCTGACTGCTGGGCCCAGCCTCTGGGCTGGCCGCCTAGGGCCACTAGGCATTGGGAACACAGTCACCCTGCTCGTCCCCAAGCCAGACCACTCGCGTCCTCTGGGGTGCCCCTGCTGTCTGGGATGCAAGCTCGGAAAGCCTGCCATGTCGGTCTGTTCCGGGGCTGCCCCTGGGGACCCTCCGGCCGTGGCACACGCACTCACGAATGCAGGTACATGTGCGCCTGCTCTTTCTCCCTCAGCCCACTACCCATAGTGTTGACAGGAACACACACAACGGCACATACGCAGACAGGCGACTTGGGCGGGACCAACACACACGCACACACACACGCACACACACACGCACGCACACACACACACGCAGGCCCTCACGCCAGGCTGGGTGTAGGGCAACCCTCCCTTCCCCACAGCCTCTCCAGTTCCCAGCTCAGAGGGGAGTGGAGTTTCTGGTGTGTCCCTGGCCCAGTCACTCTGGCAAAGGTGAGGAACTGTCCTTAGAAGGCTGAGGGATGGGTATGGGGGTCCTTGCTCCTAGAAGGAGCCTAGGCTTGTCCACAGGGGCGCCCCGGGAACTCCACCAAGGAATCCAACCCTCCTCCTCTCTGGGCCATTCCAGCTGCCTAGAGAGGGTGACCGTGGCTTTGGGCCCAGAAAGAAAGTGCTTTGCCCGGGAAGGAGCGGAAGTGCGTGGCTGGTGCCCAGGTGTGCCTCCAGGGGGGGAATGGGCCATCCCCTGTCCTTGTGGCACCTGCTGTGGGTGGGTTTCCATGCATCTGGGAGTGACAGCACCCCTTGTGTGTGCTCTGTGCTTGTGGCCCGTGTATATCTCGCATACGCGCAAGAGTTTGCAGACCTGAGTGAGCACGTGCGTTGCTTCTGCTGGCTCAGTGGGGACGTGTGTGCTAGCCAGTGGTGCACACGGAGCGTGTGTCCATGGACCTGGACGTGTGTCCTGGGGGTGGGGTATCTACGGGATCCTCACCTCCATGTGGGTTCAGCAGTGGGTATTTCTACGTGTCCATCTGTAAACTAGTGTTTCCCTGTGTGTGTCTGTAGCAATGTATGGGTCCCTGTGTGAATGAATTTGTGCTTGAGGGGGGGCACTGTGTGCGTATCTTTAAAAGTGTGTACCTGGTTTATCTGTGTGTGTTCGAACGTGTGTGTGTGATGTGTTGCGATGTGGATACCCCTGGAGAATTCTGCTTGTTAACTGGTGAGTATTGGGAATGTTTGTGTACCTGGGTGTACATTCTCCTGTGTGTGTATGTGTGCATCTTTCTATTTGCATCTGTCTATTTGTTTCTTTTTTTTTCTCCACAGTGCTAGGGATTAAACCTAGGGCCTTACGCATGTTAGGAAAATGCTCTACCACTGAGCTACATCCCCAACCTGCATTTTTCTATCTCAATGTGTGTGTGTGTGTGTGTGTGTGTGTGTGTGTGTCTATATGGTATTGGGGATTGAACCCAGGGAACATTAAACTACATCTCCCGCCCTTGTTTGCTTGTTTGTTTACGACATGGTCTTGCTAAGTTGCCCAAGCTGACCTCAAACTTGCAACCATCTGCCTCCGCGTGCCTCAGTAGCTGGGATTGCCAGTGTGTGCCACCATGCTCAGCTCTCTTTCCCAATGTAGTACCCTTGCATAACTTTAGACCTGCAGGGAGGGGCAGACGTGTCCCACCATGCTGAGTTGCTGTTTATGTCTGTGTGTCAGGCGTGGGGTCTTGTGTCTGTGATCCACGGAGGAGCGGGTCCCTCGATGTCACGTGGTGTGTGCATCCTCTGGGATCACCAGCCGCTTTGCACCTTTCCTAACCAGCAGGCCTGCTAGTGCAGCTCTGGGGTGCTGTTCGCTTGGGCCCTTTCTGTCCGTCTGTGGGAGGGGGAGATGAGCTGATAAGTTTATCTGCCGTCGCCAGCGCCATGCTGAATAACTGCTCTAATGAGGTGGCCTCTCTGGAACCACCCGCTCCAAGCCCCCCACCCCGTTGGGGAGGGTCATGGGCCAGGTGGCTGCTCTGCACCCCAGGACCTTGGTGTCTGGGGCCTTTTCTAGTTCTGTTTGGTTCTCTGGGACGGGCACAGGACCCCACCCACCGTGGCCCTGCAGGGCTGGGGCTGGCCTGGCAGGGCTGGCTGGAGCCTCCCGGTCGGTGGCTGGACCTCAGCCAGGGGCCAGGCCTGCAGAGGACAGGTGGCAGGAGGCCTGGGGACCTGGGAGAGCCGGCTGGGGGTGGACAGATGGACAGACACGGACACCCAGCAAAGAGAGACCCAGAGAGACGGGGAGGGGACAGGAGACAGGGAGCCCTAAGGACAGATTTGTGAAAGCAGCAGCCACCAGAGGACAGGCACAGGCAGGCTTGGGGGCTCGGGGTTGAGAGCGCTCAGATAGGCAGACATCTAACAGTGCCAGGGAGGTCAGAGAGATGGGGATGAAGGCAGAGGAAGTGTTAGCCAGAGAAAGACAGGGGCCAGAAGATAAAAAGAGAAGACAGCGCCAGAGAGATGGAGGGAAGAGAGCTTCGGAGGGGCTGCGAGCCCTGCGGGGAGCGAGCACGGAAAGGGCCCGAAAGAAGCGGGACACAAAGGAGCGCGACTGGGCACCGAGCAGGGGGCGCGGAGAGCAGCGCGCAGGGCCACACGGGGTCCACGCCGGGTGGGGCACCGGGCGCGGGCGGCGCGGGCAGGGGGATCCGCGCGGGGCCGCGCCGCTGTCCGGGGTAATTTTTCATCTCGGCCGGCTAATCTTTGTTCCCGGCGAAGATAATGAATAGCCAATCGTTATCTGCCCGGCTCCCGGAGGCTGCCCGAGAATGGGGTTGTACCGGGCTGGGAATTGTTTCCAAAGTGCCGCGGAATAAATGGTGTTCCTTATCTCTGCCTTCCAGATTATCGGAGCCCTTTCAGAGCGCGCACAACAAATGCGGCCGCCCTGGAAAGCAGCATTTACCGGCGCAGATCCGCGCGCTGATGGGCAGGCAGATAGCGTCCGCGGGGGGCGCCGTGTGCGCCGGGCCACCGAGCGCCCCCCCAGTGCCCTGCGTGCGTGGAGGGACACGTGGGCGTGGACATGCAGCAAACCACTATGCAGTGTGCGTGCAACTGTGCCAAGCAAGTGTGCGGCCCGAAGCACCGGTGTGCACGCTCGTGGCAAGCCTAGGCGCGGAGTGTCCGGCCACCGCCGCGGAGCGCGCACCGTGCACGCAGGTGCCGCATGCGGGCGCGGGGCCGGCGGGACGCTCGGAGAGGGAAGAGTGGGTGTGCACGCCCAGTGTGGCGGGTGGTCACGCTGAGTGCCTCGACGTCCCCGCTGGAGGTGCAGTTCCGGAGCGCAAGGCAGAGAGGGTGTTCGGCGCGCGCAGGTCGCCCTCTACCGTGTGCGCCTCGCGGGCTGCAGACTTGCGAGGGTGTGCGCGTCCGTACCCGCTACCTGGGCGAGCGCCTCGCGTGTCTTTGGGGTGTGCGCGGCCCCACGGGGGGACCGCCCTCGGGCAGCTTTCTGCCCAGGGGAAGCTAGGGGCGCAGCAAGCTGCGGGTGTAGACCCTGCATCGTGGGGAAGAGACAGATCTGTGTGTGCGGGTGTGATGGACGCCAAGCAGCTGGGCGGATTGCACCGCGTGCCAGGAGCGTTTGCGATGGGAGAGTGTACCGGGATGGAGCCTAGAGGGGTGGCCCGAGGAGTTTGGGGACGCCCGGGGTTCCTGGCCCAAGGCCTCTCCGCCGCTCTCCAGAGCTGGGCCAGCAGACCCAAACCCCGCCGCCCGGGTCCCTGAGCAGTGAATGGCACGCGTCGCCGACAAAGGCTGTATTTTTCCAGACTTGCGCCCCGCCCGTGCGCGCGATGGTCCCCATGGCGACGCAGATAGCGCCGCAGCCATTTTCCTATCTGCCGGAGTCTATTATACGGCGGGATTAGCTCATCTCCAGGCAGGTCAAACCCAAAGTCACACAACCTGCGGCGCTGGCCCCGCCCCCGCCCGCCCCTCCCCCTCTCGGGTCCAGCGGCGGCCCGGCGACCCCGGCCCACGGCCCGTGCGCAGGCGCAGAGCGCCACCTGGCGGCCGCTGGGGCCCGGAGACTTCCCTCTCCGACGGCAGAGGTGGGCTGGGCAGGGTCCCTTCCTCCAAAAGGTGGAAGCAAGCAGGTGCTTGGTTTTGTCCCTGGCAGGTACCCAGAACCAGGCTGGCACACAGGGGGTGCCCCATCAATGTTTGTGGGAAGGACGGATGGACAGGAAATTATAGACAGGGCCCGACTGCCAAAGGTCACGGCATAAACTGGCAGCAGAAAACTATTCGTGTGCATGGAAGTCAAACTCCCTGGGAACCTGTGCAGGAGCCTCGCAGACCTCTAGGCCTCGCTGCTGCTTCCTACCCCAGCGACCATCAGTTCTTCCCGTAGGTCAGGACGGCCCACCCTTTCTCTGCGACACCCTGGGAATTCTGCCTGTCACGCGTGTACCCCCGCCTCCACCCGTGATAAAGTTGCTGTCCTCTGCCCTGCCTTCCGTTCTGCACTGTTTGTCTGTTTCTCCCCGTGCGGCTGCCGAGGGGAGTGCTGAGTGCCCCCGGGTCCCCTGTGTCCCTGTGTACAGTCCAGCGGCTGAACGTAGGCACTGTGGGCCCCCCTTGCCTGTCACTGATGCCCTTTTCCCGGCCCCTCGCTTGTCCCAGCTGCAGCCGGAGGTTGAGAGAGAAAACGATGCTGCGGTCCCTCCACGTCCCGTGCTCCGCCGGGTGACACCTCACTCACAGTATGAGATAATTATGCCAGAGGCGCCTGGAGCTGCGGTGATTAATTGCTGCTCAGGCTTGGACAGGATCTGGAGCAGAAAGACCGCAGCTGGCTGAGCGGGGACCAGGCCAGGCTTGCTCCTGCGCAGGCGGCTTGAGACCCGCCCTGTGACAGGGGTCGGCCAGAACGCCCCGCTTCCACACACCCGTGTCACTTCACCCCCGGAACCCCCCCCCACTCCCGCCAGACTGAGTGGGGATTGTGTGTGAGCGTGTGCCAGGTGTGACCAAATTATGGGTGGAGACACACTGCTGGGAAAGTCACCCTCTCGCTTCAAGCACACTTAGCTCGCCCTCCTTGCCGCTTTCTGCAGCAACCCCAGAAGGGCTCTTCCGCGGGCGTCTTTATGAGGTACAATCAAAATATGGTGAGTGCTGCTGCCAAGGGCCACCCAGTGGGAGGGCAGGCTTGTGAAAACAGCACTGTGTCCTCGCCCACCTTCTTCAGTGGATCTGGCACCTGCAACTTCTGGCTCTTCCTCAGACTCATTCAGGACATGGAGGCAGCCACGACACTACGCTAAAGATCCTCACGAAAGAGGACTCCAGAGCTGCTGCAGAAAGCGGCAAGAACATGGGATAAGTTTTCAGAGCGAGGGGGAGGATTGTGAGGGGAATTAGTGGCAATGTGCCTTTTACTGTAATAAAAAAATTTTTAAAGGAAAATTCGCTGTATAGAGCCACCCAGCGTGGCCTCTGTGCCAGGCCCCGCCCCTCAGGCCCCAGGTCATGGACTTGTCCCTCATGGAGATGCTGGGTGCTGGACTTGGTTGGTGCTGGTTTTCCTTCCAATAATGGGACGGCCGGTATCTCTCTCCCTCTGTGTCCATATGCCACTTAGTAATTAATCACTGAACTCATTCAGTCAGTCCTTTTAAATAGTGTGCTGGGCCCCGGGTGTACAGCTGTGGGAGCTTCACTCCGGGACAGTCAGTCCGGTGACCGAATTGGATGAGGTCAAGAAAGCCTCAGAAATAATGCTAAGAATTCTGAGGGCAGGAAAAGCACACGCAGGCTGATGCGGGCCCTGGGCTCAGTTGCCAGGCCTGTGTGAGCGGTGAGATTCTGGCCGGTGAGGCCCGGAACCTCGGGCTGCTTGCTGAGGGGAGGTGCTCACTCTCACCGGGGAACACAGTGTGTAAAGAGCGCCAAGGGGTCAACAGCAACCGTGGAGCAGAACCGTGGCGAAGGGTGTGAATGGAAAGTTCCTCAGAAAGAGGTGAACAAAGGCACGCTCGGTCTCACTCAGAGACATGGAAATTTAAATCACAAATCTGGGGTGAAAGGAAATGAGCTGAAATAGACCATGGTGGCGGATGGGACCCTATAAAGGATGAGAATGCATTGAAGGATGCATTTGGGTTACCTTTATGGCACTTCACTTCTACCACAAGAAGCTGTTCAAAAAAATAAATGACGAGGCTTGGGGACAGCTTGTGGTAAAGCACTTGCTTAGCATGTAAGAGGTGCTGGGTTTGATCCCCAGACCAGAAAACAGTAAGTAACAGCCAGGTGTGGTGCTGCATGACTCTAACCCCAGCTACTTTGGGAGGCTGAAGCAGGGGGATTGTAAGTTCAAAGCCAGCCCAGGCAACTCGGTGAGACCCTGTCTCAAAAAGAAAAAGTTTGAAAAGGACCAAGGGTGCAGCCCAGTGGCTGACAATTGTTTAGCACACAAGTACCACAAATATTACAAATATCGCGTGGGGCCGGGCATGGTGGCGCACACCTGTAATCCCAGCACTCCGGAGGCTGAGGCAGGAGGATCATTGCAAGTTCGAGACCAGCCTGGGCTACAAAGTGAGCTCAAGGCCAGCCTGAGCTGCATAGCGAGACCCTGTCTCAAAAAGACCAAAAAAAAAAAAAAATATTGCATGGGGAGAGAGGTTGTTGGGAATGTCAGACACTCGGGTGGGTGGGCAATGGGACCCTGACACATGTATGATACATACACCTTTGAGCCAAGATTCCATTTGCAGGGCTCCATCTGACAGATATGCTTTCACATCTGTGGAATTTACAAGGAAATTCACTGCAGCCTCATACATTATGGCCAAAGATTGGAAGCAGAAGATGTTCTTCCACAGATGGAATGTCATGCTGCTGTCAAAATAAAAAAAAAAAAAAGGAAGAGAAAAAGCAAAGCATAGCTCTTAGTTGGGCATGGTGGTGCACATCTGTAATCCTAGGTCCTTAGAAGGCTGAGACAGGAAGATTGCAAGTTCAGGCTCAGCCTGAGCAACTTAGTGAGACCCTGTGTCAAAACAAAAAGTAAAGAAAGTCTGGGGATGTAGCTCAGTGTGCCCTGGGTTTAGTTCCCAGTATGGCAAAAATCAATCAATCAATCAGTCAATGTGCAGATGAGAGAGCAGTGTGCCCGCTGATTAGCAATGGGGTAAGGAGAGAAGAGACAGACACATCGGCTCACACAGTTCCAGAAACTCTCTGGACAGCCTACAAATAGGCCGTTAGCAATCTACACCAGGCCTGGGTTCAGTGGATGGAAAAAAATGTGGGAGGGACTTTCCCATGTGCCTTTGATTCGGGTTGAACTTGCACAGATAGATAGATAATAGGTGATAAACGTACAGACAGTGTAAAATGTTAAACTTAAAGGCAAAAAACAACAACAACAACAACAAAAAAACCCTTTTCTCCAGCAACTGGAAGTCAAGATCAAGCCCTAGATAACCCTTTGGGTTAAAAAAATAAATAAATAAAAATGGAGAAGAGCAAAACCTGGCCAGGAAGAAGTTGGGGAAATTTTCAGGGGCTAAAACACAAGGAAACAAACTTTCTCCTACCCTATCAACAGGAATGTAAACTGGTGCAAGCATTTTGCAGAGTTATCTGGATGTGTCTAGACAGGTTAAGGTACAAACACCACACAAAGCTGGGCATGACGTCGTGCACCTGGAATCCCAGCACTCTGGGAGGCTGAAGCAGGAGGATGGCAAGTTCAAGTTCCCAGCTTGGACAACTTAGCAAGACTGTTTCAAAAGAAAAAAAGGGCTGGGGATGTAGCTCAGTGTGAGGGTCCTGGGTTCCATTCCTCAGGACCCATCCCTCCAAGAAAAGCCACGTGACCCTCCAATTCCCTCACCCAGGCACATGAGAAGCCCTCACTCAAGGCCAAAGAGATGTGTGTGCTGCCGCTCATGGGGTGCTGCTTGAAAAAAGAAGTTAGGAAGGAAAGAGGGAGGGAGAGTTAGTTTGGGGCTGGGGACATAGCTCAGTGGTAGGGCATGTGCCTGGCATGCACGGAGCCCTGGGTTCCATCCCCAGCAGGAAAGGCAGGCGCTGTGACACAGCTGATAACCTACACAGTGCACCTGGCGGGTGAGTCAGACCAAGAGCCAGGCAGTGTGGGTCCCTAGGGGTGGGGACAAGGCACCCAGAGCCTCAGGCACAAGGAACTGGTGGGATTTTCCTCCTAAAGCCTTGTCTGTTGTTATGGAGATGAAGCAGGTGGAGTAAAAGTAGAGACATGAATGGGATGAAATCTTCTGGGAAGTTTTTAAACCAGCTCTAGACAAGAACAAGCCACACCATGTGCACAGATGAGGAGATGCCAGACCTTAAAAGGTCAATTCTCTTGTTTTCAGGATAAACTTAATGTAATTCAAGTTAGGATACCAAGGGGAATGTTTTAAAAGCTGGATGAAATGAACACAAAGATTATGTGACAGAATAATCACCCAAGAATAACCCAGGAAAACTGGAAAGAGAATTGTAGGGAGTTTCTGTTTTTGTTTTTTGCCTTACTGGAAATGAGAACACGTGCCAAAGCCACTATAATCAAATCAGTATGGCATTGGCAGAGGAACAGACGATGGAAAAGAATGGTGCGTCCAGAATTAGATCCTGGTCTGAAGGAGAGTGTGACATATGACAAACATAGTATTTCAGGTCCGATGAGAAGGGCTCACAGGCCATAAATGGGATTGGCACCACCAAGTATCCATCTGGAAGAAAATAAGCTTGGATGTGCTGCCAGATCAGTTCCAGATGGAGTAAAAATTTAAACAGGAAAAGTGAGTTACCATCTTGCAAAAGAAAAAGCATGACCTGAGGAAAAGGATGTGCAAGGGCCCAGGGGCAGCGAGGCTCAGCTTGTCCTGGGAAAGACAGGATCTCCCTGTGCCTGGGATGAGGATGGAATCCTGGGTATCTTCATCCCAGGGATTCAGGACACCTCAGGCCAGGCCTTGCCAGGATACAGCCATTTCCCTGGGCATGTGCAGAAATCTTGTCATATGTGTTCCTGTCCTGGGAGAGTTCCTTAATCTTTTACTCTAAATCAGTTCCTGTCATCATTATTGTTATGGTTTCATTGTGTGTGTGTGTGTGTGTGTGTGTGTGTATGTATGTGTGTTGCTTTTTGGTTTTTGTTTTGTTTTGCAGTGCTGAAATGGAACCCAGGGCCTCCTTCATGCCAGACAAGTGCTCTAGCATTGAGCTGCACCCCTAGGCTCCAGATTATTTATAAAAGCCAAATTGATCCTACCACCAGGTGTGGTGGTACACACCTGTAAGCCCAGCACCTTGGGAAGCTGAGATAGTAGGATCGCTGTGAGTTCAAGGCCAGCTTGAGCTACACAGTGAGACCTTGCCTCAAAAAATTAATTAATTACGATATTCCTGTACAAGTCAAGGTTTCAGTAGGCTAGGGGATGCCAGAGGGCAGGAGAGAGATTCAGGGCTCCACATG